GCAGTGTTTAGGGTGGGAAGGCAGCTGCACCAGGGCCATGTTTACTGTACCAATCCCCGGGAGGCAGGAAGCTCAGCCTGTGGGCACCTTCAGTCATCTTCCCCCCACAAAAGCAGCTGTCTCATGTCCCATCACTTGCCGTCACCCTGTCAGGACTCACGCCATCTTTAGCTCCAGGCTGGAGCCCTCCTTCAATCCACCCAAGAGCTGGGACACCCCTCCCCCTCCTCCTCCCACCCTTACTCAACCTCCTATAGTGCTATCCTCTCACATCCACAGTCAGCCACCCCACAGGGTGGTGGAAGGGACCACAGTGGGAGCAGCCCTATTCCTATAAATTACATGGTCCGCTATGGGACTTAATTGTGTCCTCCCAAATTCATATGTTAAAGCCCTAGCCCCCAATCTCCAATGGGATGGTACTTGGAGCTAAAGACTTTGGTAATTATGTTTTGGTGACGTCATGAGGGTGGAGCCCTCAAAATGGGATTATTCTGTCCATCTGTCTCTCTTTTTCTCTCTCCTCTTTTTTCTCTCTGTGAGGATACCGCAGGAAGGTAGTCATCTGGAAGCCAGAAAGAGTCCTCACCAGAACTCAGTTATGCTGACATCCTGATCTCAGACTTCCAGCCTCCAGAACTGTAAGAAATAAAAGTCTGTTATTGAAACCACCTGGTCTATGGGGTTTTGTCATAGCGACTCAAGCAGACTAAGACATGGTCTGAGTCCCGGTTTGAAATACTGGAAGTCAGTCCAAAGACAATCTTGGAAATAGTTCACCTTTTACCCATACCTCTTCCCAGATGGGGTGGTGCCGAGCCTTACTGATGGGCCAGGCAGGAGGAGGCCGGGGCAAAGAAAAGGTGACAAGGAGGACAGGAGTTCTTCGGTCTTCAAATGAATGAGCCCAACACCATAAGGAGGCCAATAAGTCATGCCAGTTCCTGAGGAGGGGTCACCAAGTAGGAGACCTGGTGAACTATTCCCTGAGGAGACAAGGTGGCTGAGCTGGAGCAGCCATCGGGGCCATGAATAGAGGTCACACATCAATGTCACAAGATAGAAGGAGCTTAGGTCCTGAGGACTTCGTGCAGAGTGGCTGCCATACCAGCCCTAGACTGCCAACCCCCGGACTTCGGTGGGAGGGGAAAACGCACTTTCGCATCTTAGAAGCCGCTGTCTTTCGGTCTCCATAACCCACAGCCAAATATCAATATACTCGTAACCGACGCTGCCTTCAATAAATGTTGGCTGTTATCTGCCACACGATACAATTATTTAATGTCTGTCTTCCCACTAGATTGTAAGCTCCATGAGGGCAGGGACCATGTCTGTCTGGTTCAGTGTATTCTCAAGGCCCAAACCAGTGCTATACACGCAGCAGGCACTCAATCAGTGTCTGTCCAATGAGTCAGTGACCCCCTGCTCGTGCCCTTTTCCTACCTGAGCCTGAGCTGCAGACTTGGGGCATCTTCTCCTTTAAGGTCTCACTTAAAGCCCACCAAGGAAAATCATCCCTGTCATACCTCACTTCCTTCTGCTTCGTGCAGGTCCCTTGGAACTTACCCTGTGTTACATAGATGAAGTTGTCCTGCTGTTGTTGTGATGCTCATTCTCTAGTTAGTGCCCTGATGCTTATGTCCTTGCTTAACTGGATGGTAAGCTACTTTGGCAGGGAAAACACTTTCAGTTTTTAATCATTGGGAGCTTAACCCCAATTCCTCCTAAATGTATACAGTGGGGGCTTCCCTGGTGGCGCAATGGTTGAGAGTCCGCCTGCCGATGCAGGGGACATGGGTTCGTGCCCCGGTCCGGGAAGATTCCACATGCCGCGGAGCGGCTGGGCCCGTGAGCCATGGCCGCTGAGCCTGCGCGTCCGGAGCCTGTGCTCCGCAACGGGAGAGGCCACAACAGTGAGAGGCCTGCGCACCGCAAAAAAAAAAAAAAAAAGAAAGAAAGAAAGAAAAAATGTATACAGTGGACAATAAATACTTTGTGGAGAAAGGGAGGAAAGGAGGGAGAGAGGGAGGGAGGAAGGGAAGGAGGGAGGAAAACCTGACAGGGCCCCAACACTGAGGAGGAATGCTAGCATTTCAAGTTGGGGAGGGTGACTTTTAAAAAGGAGAAATAATGGGGAGTTCCCTGGTGGCCTAGTGGCTAGGATTCTGGGCTTTCACTACCATGCCCCGGGTTCAATCCCTGGTTGGGAAACAAATCCTGCAAGCCACACGGCACGGCCAAAAAAAGAAAATAAATGAAATAAAAAGGAGAAATAAGTAAGGTCAAAAAGGAGCAGGCAGAATGGTAGGAGGCAAACAAGAGAGAAGACTCCCAAGAGCCTAACTTGGAAAAAATTTCAAAGGCAGGTTGGTGTGTGTCAAAAGATGGAAAAATGTGGGATTCCGGGGACCTGGGCTCATCAGTCATTAGCTGTGACCTTGGGTAAGTCAATTCTCCTCTAAAGATCCATTTCCTTACTTTTACAGTTAGCAGGTCTGACGCAATCAGTGGTCTTCTGGTTGTGCTCCAAGAAGCCCAGGTAGAGGCTCCAAGACGCTGGCATCTGGGCCTCACCTCCTCAGCCAGAGAAGCTCTGCTCCCTTCAGATTCATGCATTGGCTTCTGCACAGAATTTAGTTTGAGCAAAAGGCTACGGAGCTAAAACCAAGTCTGAAAACCACTGGTGTCAACAACCCCGCTCACAGCTACGTAAAGATCTCAGGTTTTATGGTTCAACAGTTCTCTCCCGAAGCTGGAGCCCCTCCTCAAGGAAGAAAAGGTGCACATGGGCCTTGGTCTCATCTTCCCAGCCAGACTTTAGATTCTGAGAAGACTGAATTTGGGCTCATGGTTCTCAGCTCCCCATGACAACTTCCTGTTTGGGCTCATGGAATCTCAGCCTTGGCTGGGTCATTATCAATAAAAGATGTTTCACAAAATTCTGTGGCTGGATGCCCTGACAGGGTAGCAGAAAGGTTGTGAGAAGGAGAATCTAATCCACCTTGGGTAGTCCTCAGGGATTTAAGGGACGCCCATCCAGGGGTGACTGGGCCCCTGAGTTCTGGCATGTGTTCTGCTCACATGTGTGTCTTTATTTTTTTTAATTTTTTTTAAAGGGCTCATGAACATGTAATTTTTTTTTATTTATTTATTTTTTATTTTTTTTTTCTGTGTTAGGTCTTCGTTGTGGTGCGTAGGCTTCTCGTTCAGTGGCTTCTCTTGCTGTGGAGCGTGGGCTTTAGGTGCGTGGGCTTCAGTAGTTGTGGCACGCGGGCTCAGTAGCTGTGGGTCACTGGCTCTAGAGTGCAGGCTCAGTAGTTGTGGCACATGGGCTTAGTTGCTCCACGGCATGTGGGATCGTCCCTGGCCAGGGCTCGAACCCGTGTCCCCTGAATGGGCAAGTGGATTCTTAACCACTGCTCCACCAGGGAAGTCCCCTCACATGTGTCTTTAATTTCATTACATGCTCTTTCTCCTTCTTCCCAGTCTCTGGTTTCTTGTCTTCCTCCTTTTCTCACTTGCCTTCCTGCACTCCCCTGCCCTCCCAGCCTGAGGCCTGTGCTCCCTCTGAAGCCCTGACACTTTCCCAGAGTCCCGGGTATGGAGTCCGAGGTTTAAGCCGGCAGTCGGTGAGATGCCCAGAACAAGCAGGGCTGAATCAGGCACCAGAGGCTTTGCTCTCAGGGGAAGAGACACCTAAAGGGCCCACATCAAGATATAAACACTGGGACTTCCCTGGTGGTCCAGTGGTTAAGATTCCGAGCTTCCAATGCAGGGGGCATGGGTTCGATCCCTGTTTGGGGAACGAGGACCCCGCGTGCCATGTGGCGTGGCCAAAAAAAAAAAAAAAAAGATACAAGGACCATAAACAAAATGTGGTACCTGCACACATACAGTAGAATACTACTCCTCCTTAAAAAGGAAGGGAATTCTGACACTTGCTACAACACGGATCAACCTTGAAGACATTATCAAAGTGAAATAAGCCAGTCACAAAAAGACAAATACTGTATGGTTCCACTTATACAAGCTGTCTAGAGTAGTCAGATGCATGGAGATAGGAAGTAGAGTGGTGGTTGCCAGGGACTGGGGAGAGGAGGAAATGGGGATTTATTGTTTAATGGATATAGAGTTACAGTTTCATAAGATGAAAAAGTTCTGAAGATTGGTTACACAACAATGTAAATATACTTAACACTACAGGACTGTACACTTAAAAATGGTTAAGATGGAAAATTTTATATTATATGTATTTTACCACAATTTTTTTCTTTTTTAAAAAAAACTTTTTATTTTATATCGGAGTATAGTTGATTAACAATATTGTGTTAGTTTCAGGTGTACAGCAAAGTGATTCTGTTATACATATATGTGTATCTATTCTTTTTCAAACTCTTTTCCCATTTAGGTTGTTACATAATATTGAGCAGAGTTCCCTGTGCTGTACAGTAGGTCCTTGTTGGTTATCCTTTTTTTTTTTTTTTTTGGCTGAGCTGCACGGTATGCAGAATATCCTAGTTCACTAGGGATCGAACCCGCACCCCTTGCAGTGGAAGGGCAGAGTCTTAACCACTGGACCTCCAGGTAAGTCCCTAGTTATCCATTTTAAGTACGGCATTGTGTACATGTCAATCCCAAACTCAACTATCCCTCCCCCCAACCCTTCCCCCTGTTTACCACAATTTTTTTAAAAAGAAGCAGGTGGCTTCTTCCTATTTGTCACCTGGACGGGACATAAGGTGGAGAGTGAGCCTTGGAAGGAAATGAAACTCCTGATTACAGCTCCTCAAACTGCAGGCCCTTCCTGAGCTCTCTGCGCATGGTCTGGCCCTCATGTTTCTAGATCTCTGGGCTCTGGCCCTTGTCCCCCAGCTCCCAGTTACTGCTTATTTCTCTGAGGAATATGCATGAGGCCTCAGGTGACATTATCACACACACTCACAAAAACCCAACTCAACTAGTTAATTCATTTAAGAAAGCAACTCAGAGACTGGTTGGAATCAGGGAACTCGGCACAACCTTGCCGGAGCTGTTTATTTACGGGGACAGCTATGGGCCCATGAGGTCCTCGGGGCTGCGGTGCAGTGGAGAGTCCAGGACTCCAACTCCAGCTCAGTCACTCTGGGCCTCTCGTTAACTCACCTGGGCTAAGGCCATGGGCCAGGCACCTGAAAGAAAGCACTAGATGTACAGGGCTCTACCTCACTCTCCATACCCCAGCCCCTGATCACAGACCCCAGCCCTACCAGGACGGCACCAAGCCTGGGCAGGAGGGCGCAGGGGGTGGTCAGGGAAGGGAGAAAAGAGGAACAGGGTCAAGGGCACCTGGTACCTGGCTCCTCACACACAGGAGCCTATACAGGAGGCCCCTCCTGAGGGAATGGTCTTGCCTTGAGAGACCCCAGAAGAGGCAGGAGGATGTGACTGATGAAGGTCAAGGTCAGGTGCAAAGACCAGGGAGGGCAGGGGGCAGAGCAGGAGGTGACAGGAGCACTTAGAGGGCAGGGGACTGATGGGCGGGGCCAGGCTGTTCTCCGCCCCCTGCAGTGCCCTGTGGGGCCCCAGAAGGACCCCGAAGGAGAGGCTGCACTCACCCTGGAGGGGTCTGCTTCACCCAGACATGATGTGCTTGACAAAGGCTGGGAAAGAAGACGGAAATCAGCCACTGCACTTGGTCCCTCTCAGCCCCTTAAACCTCTTCTCCCTGCTCTATACTGCCTGACCTCAAACCTTCCCAATACCCTTTCTTCAGAGCATGATTCTTTCCCCCATTTAGGGTTGATGGGGAGAAGGTAGAAGGAAGGAAGAGACATAACCACTGCTCTGTGTCCATTCTCTGTGCTGGTACTTGACACAGATGAAATGAGCTACATTATCTCTGCCAATCCCCGCAACCTTGGGACAGGGGCCAGCATCACCCCATTGCTCAGATGAGAAAACCAAGGCTCAGAGAAGGTAAGTGACTTGCTCAAGGTCACACAGCTGGTATATCACAGAGCTATCTCCGAAATCCATGCCCCTTCCATTACACCGTGATGTTCACTCCCAGGAAAGAAAAAGAACAATGTCCACTGGGAGCTCACCAAAGCCCACGGGGTGTGCACGCTCCCTAGCCCCTGCATCTGCTCTGTTCTGCAGCCCAGCCCAGCCCTGCGCGACCGGGGAAGTGCAGCATGAGCCGATACCTTCGTAATTGATGCAGCCATTGGCATCCTCCTGCCCTGCTAACAGCTGCTCCACTTCAGCCTCAGTCATCTTCTCTCCTGGGGTGGGAGACAGTGGGCACTTAATTACAGATGGGCAAAGGAGGCACAGGCCAAACCCAAGCACCCCCTTGAGTCTGATGGCTCAAGACTTCCTGGGTGTAGGAAGTGGCCATACCAAAGCTCCCCCAGAGGCTTTGGAGGGTGGAGCCAAGGGTCTTAAGGTCCTTCCTAGTTCCCAAGGTCTCTCCCTCTGGCTACAGCCACCAGTGGGTGAGCAGACCAGGGCCCCAGTGACTGAGGCAAAGACAAGGACAGGAGCCCTGGGTCCCACCTCTCAGGCCTCACCCCCGCTCAGCCAACCTGCTCTCCTCTCCTTCCCACCCTGCTGAGCAAACCCAGCTGGGGAAGCAAGACAGGCCTGGATCAGGATGTGATCCTCAGGACGCAGGGACCCCCATGTCTCCCCAACATATGCCGCTCGGTCACTTCCCACGCCTCTGTTCCCCCTGTCCTTGGGCTCCACCTCTGCCCAGCTGGCGTACCCAGGGTGGCGAGGACGTGGCGAAGCTCGGCGCCCATGACCGTGCCGTTGCTCTCCTTATCAAACACGCGCAGCCCCTCCACGAAATCCTCGTAGGTGCCCTGCTCCTTGTTGCGGGAGATATGCTGCAGGATGGGCAGGAACGTCTCAAAGTCCAGCATCTTGGTGTTCATCTCTTGCGGCGGGGACAGGGAAGGAAAGGGAATTCGACGTGAGCTCGAGGGAGCAGAGGGTTAGGAGGGGTCTCACCTGGCTCTGCCAGGCTAGCCCGCCCCTGGCAGCACCCAGAGCTCAGCCGCCGCCACTTCTGGGTGGGGCACCCCGTCAGCAATCCTGGAGGGCTCAGAGGCCTGGGAGCCAGGCAGGAGTTGACTCTGGGCACTCTTCTCAGTGAAAGGACAGGAGGGAAGAGGGACCATGACTCCACCCAGACCTCTGAGCTCCAGGTGGCCAGTGGGGCAGGGAGCTGAGGTGGCAGCAGTAGGATTTGAGGGACCCCAAGGGCCACACAGCGCAGGCCTCACATTCACAACTTAGACTTCTGACACGTGACAGACTCCCAGTCACAAGGGTAAACTGACAAAATTGCAAAAAGAAAATTTTGCATAACTCCAAATTTGGGTCCCATCACTAGACCAACAGTGCCTGGAGCAACTCTGAATCAGTTTACTACTAACCAGTAAAATGTGTGATTCTTGTGTGACTAGCACTCTTCTCCCACATTGTCATGTGTTAAAAGCTTTAATTTAATAGAGGTAAACCATTTTTAAATACCTCCAAATGTTGGCATTGCTTTCTTTTATAACCCAGGAACCTCCTACAATGGAAGTGCCCAGATATCTTTCGACCTCTGAGAAGCCCTACTGACACCGGTAGGCTCCTTCCTCTGGTCCTTCTGGCCCACATCCTTCACCCCCAACCAGTGTCTTCACCAGCAAGAGCAGGAGGGGAAGGGGCCAAACCAAGGAAGGGGGTGGAGCCAACATGGGCCCCAGGAAGCCTCCAGCGATGGCCCACCCTGGCTGCGGGCCCCTGCCCAGGCCCGCCTGGCCCTGTCCTCTCAGAAGGACATGTGTGTTAGGGCAGCTGTCAACTTGACTGCCATGGTGACAGGTGACGTTCACAAATGTTGCCACTTGCACCACTTTCTAAACTCTCATTCACCAAAATCTATCAAATACAAACGAGTGAAAGAAGCATCATTATAGAGTTAATCTTGAGTCTGCTCTAATTTATATTAAATGAATAATTTGCAGTCCTCAGTGATCTAACCATCATTAGAAGGAGGACAGCTCAGCGCTGTGACACCTCGACCACAATTTGCTGGTGGGGAAGGGGGGGGGGCGCTGCTCATTATCAGCTTCCCTCCAAGCTTCCCTGCCCCATGTGCCCGGCACCCTCGGTGTCACAGGAAGACACTAAAGAAGCAGAATGTCGTTCCTGCTCCCCAGGAGCTCCCGCCCTCACGGGGAAAACAAGAACAAGCCCAAGAGAGAGGGTCAACTAAGTGCCAGGCGCTTCCAGGTAATTCTAGCAATGGGAGGAGGGTAACCTGGGGAGGGTAGGTTTGTCTTGAAGGGAGAGAGCCCCAGGGGCGGCGGGAGACACCACGAGGCCCACGCTGACCTTCCGGCTTGGGCTTGCCCAGGACGCGCAGCACCTCGGCGTTGGTGGGGTTCTGGCCCAGGGCCCGCAGCACGTCCCCGCACTGCCCGTAGGTGATCTTCAGCTCTCCAGTAGGGGTCCGGTCAAACAATGAAAAGGCCTCTTTGAACTCTGCAGAGAAAAGACTGGCTGCAGCCCCCGGGGCCAAGCGAAGGCGGTGGCTTGGGGCTGATCGTTCTCCACCCGCCCTGTGGTTGAGAAAATATTTCAGTATTTCCCTGCAGCCATCATCCCAGCCGCTCCCTGTAACCCATCCCCACCCCATCTTCTGACAACTAAAGAAGCATGCTGGAGCCCCACGACCTGTTCCAGCGCTGGGCCTGGGATCTCTTCCATTGATCACTTGTCACATCATTTGAAGTCTCCCCTGCCCCCGCCCCTCCCACCCACCCATCCTTCCCTTTGCAGGTGAGGTGGCTGACTGTTGAAAGAGGCAGGGAAGTGAAAAGAGCACTGGCGGAGGAGTCAGGATTCCTGGGTTCTCCTCTTGGCTCTGCCAAGCAGCACCGGGCTGGGTCTCACTTTCTTTGCACACGCGCAGAAAGTAAGGCTCCACCCCGCCCTCCCCTCCCAGTTACTACCAGTGTCAAAGGAGGTGGCAGTGTGTGGAAGCACTTTGCAAAGTGACAAGACCTGTTCAGAAGTCAGCTAATATCAGTACTGCCTGTTCCAGGCTGAGAGGGGCCTCCCAGGCTGGACAAGGTGACCTGGTGGAAACAGTCAGCCCGCCTCAGCTCTACCACTGACCCGTAGGTGGCCTCGGCCAAACTCCTAACTCCCACGGGCCCTCTGTTTCTTAGCTCTAAGTAAGGACACAGTGTCCACCTGTGTGGGCTGCTGGGGGGATTACAAAGCACTCCAAGCATGGTGTCTAGCATGTGGTAAGGGAATCAACACATGGTGGTTATTATTATATTTCCTAGTTCTGGAGCCAGACTCCCAGAAGAAGGTTCCAGGGCAGGTGTCCAAGGGGCAAGGCTGAATGAAGGCACTCCTGGGCCCTTTGCAAAGAACCTTAATTCCTAATCAATTTGGATTCAACCAACTCGTCACTGGGGATAATATGGACTGGGTATGGCATTGAAATTACCTTATGCTACCGGCGACAAAACGGTTTACTAAGCAGATTAACAATATAAACCTAAGAAGAATGTGTGAACTACTTAGGAGAAAAGCTGCTTTTAATCCTCTCTAAGCACTTTAGAAACACTTATTTCCTTTGATGCTGCATACGGATTATTCACAAATCATTCCACATATCAAAGCAGGTTCCCCAAGACATTTACCTGCCACTCTTTATTAGGCTTTGTATGAATTTCAAAGATATAAAGCTGCCTGTCTTTCAAATTACTAACTAATTGAGTTCAAATTCTGTTTCCATTGCTTAGTAGCTGTGTGACCTTGGGCAAGTAAATATTTAACCTCTATAAACCTCTTTTCTTCTATAAATGGCACCTACCTCATAGGGTCCTTAAATTACATTCAAATAAAATACAATAGTGTGCGCATAAAACTTTAACTCTGTGTCTTAACACAGAGTAAATTCTCCACCAATGCTGTTAGTAATCTCTTACTGAGGTTAATCCCAATTTTACCACTTAACTGTGTGATCTTGGCCAAGTCACATAACCTCACTGAACTTTGTCCTCTGTCAAAAGGAATAGCACTGACCTCACAGCTTTGTTAGAACAATTTAATTTTTTTTGAACTTTTAAAGCAATTAGCATGGCTTCTGGCACAAATTCATTGTTCAATAAATATGGCAGTTGAATCTGAACTCAGACTTTTTGATCTTCTAATTCATTCAGAAGAGTGAGGGCAAACTTAATAAAAGTAGGAGTCTCCACTTAAAAGAAGAATGATATTTAATAGAAGGATGGAACAGGGGGGAAATAACAGGAGTAATGACCTATGATTTGAGCACTTACTGTGGGCCAGGCTCTGAGCTGATAACTTTGCATGAATTATCCCGTTCATCTTTACAAAGACTATGCTATAGCTATTATCATCCTCATTTATAGGCCACTGCAGATGTGACTTCCAGCCAACTATTAAGGAAACCAAGTGAGGAGGAGGAGGAGGAGGAAGAGGCCTGCTGCACCAGCTAATGTTCCAGACCGCTGGGAAGGCTGGTATGCACATAAAAACCAAACACTGAAGTCTAGGATAGCTACTAGGAGGAAAAACAAGACCAGTGTGATCTCGAGGTATATGAGAGATGAAGTGCATTGTCCCAGAAGAAACTTCTGAAAGATCTGTAGTAGGGAGCTGCCTGCTAGAGCAGTGAACAATGGTGGTGATCCCTTTCCAGAAGGATATGGAAATATGGGCCAGAGAAGGAAGTCAGGACTTAGAAACTAATTCCTATGAGAAAATAAATAAATAAATAAAAGAAATTGGAGCCATATCACCTGGAGATCACAAAGCTAGGAAGGGATTTGATAACTGTCTTCAAATAGATGGAGGGTATCTAGAAGATGCTGAATAGAGTCACAGAATTTCTGAATTGAAAAGAACCAAATACCCTCACTTTGCAGATAAGAAAATCCAGGTTTAAAGAAGTGACTTGCTCTAAGTCTCATGGCCAATAGTGGCAGATTTAGGGCTAATTTCAAAGTCTCCTGGTTGCAGATAACGTTTTTCCAGCAAAACAGGAGAAAACCATCTTCAGTTTCACCAAAGAGCAAATGAAGAGATAGGAATAAAATTAAAGCAGAAACAATTCCAATCCAACCTAAGGAACAATGCCTTCAAAGTCAGAGGGATGAAAGGCTGGAATGAGTTAGGCCCCAGCCCTGAATATCTTCACAGAGAAAAGAGGCAACCAGCTGTCTCAGTTGGCTTTGACCAGGATTCCCATTTGGGAAATGAAAATTTTTTATCATTAGTTGATTTTCTAGTCCTCATGGGTACCATTGTGTTTGTATATACACTGAGTATATATATATATATTTAACTAAAATGCATTAAAATTTATTTTAAGAATTTCACAGTGCTCCAAACTATTGATGGAAAGTGACTGTCCACAGGGTATTGCAAAAATGGAGTAGGACTCGGTTCACTTGTTTTAAAATGCATCTGCCATCTCTCATGCCCTATTGGTGGGTAACTGGCATCACTTTTTTGGAGGGAAACTTGGCAGTAACTATTAAAATGCACATATCCTTTGACTCATTGCTAGGAAGATCCCCCGGGGAAAGCATTATCTACCCCAACTGGAAACAACCTGAAGTCTATCAATGTGGGCCTGATTGGATTAAAAGGTGCCTCCGTGTGTGAGAATCTATATAACTGTTTAAAAGAATGAGGTAGAACTGTTGGTGTTAAATATAAAAAGATATTTAAATATATTATTAAATAATATGTACTATGTTATACATTGTTCAACCCAAATATATATTAAATAAAAGATGCAGGACAGTATGCACCACATGACTCAATTTGTATAAACTTTACACATACATACATACATACTGGTATAACATTATATGTTTTTTAATCAAAGGATACACAGACCTATTGACAATGATTGTTTTGGGGAGAGGGGATCAGTATGAGAGGAAAGCAAGGGGAAAATAAATATTTTTAATTTTCTTTATTTTTAAGTAGTATATGATTTTTTTTTTTTTACCATGTTCATGGATTCGTTTGATTTTTAACGTATAGTCTGTGCTTAAAATCAAGGGGTTGAATCAGGTGACCTTTCAAGGTCCCTTTCAATTCCTATGATTTTATGTCCAGGAGGCATTTGGTGGGGGAAACAAAGGGATAAGTTGCAATGAAGGTGGATCCCAGCTGTAAAGTAGATATCACTTGATGAAATATTTCATCCTCAAAACACCAGACTCCTACAGAAGAGGGCTGAGGGGCAACAATTAAGTTGGAGGGCAGGAGGTCTCGAGGCTTGTCTTGAAGCTACACTTAAGAATACTTATATTAAGTTGAGAAAACAAATTGTCTTCATCAAAGACGGAGAAGGGCTGATGGAGATCACAGGTGGACTAAGGCACCCTCAAGTCACCGCTGGTCCTGCCACCATTAGCGGGTGAGCATCTTGGCAGACTTCAGGATGCAGGGAGAGGGAGCTGGTAACCTGAGGAGGGCTTTCCAATAACAAACCAGAAATGAGGACTTCTAAATATCTTGGATAGGAGATTATAGAGTGGAGGGAAAAAAGGCATTTTTGCTGTGCATCTATTATGTTCCAGGCAGTCTGGCAGAGTAGTTCAGAACTCAAGTCTGGAATCAGATTGCCTGAGTTAGAATCCTGGCTCCACCACCAACTGTCTGTGTGAGACTGGGCAAGCCACCCAACCTCTCTGTGCCTCAGTTTTATCACCTGTAAAGTGGGGTGGTGACAGTCCCTACCTCACAGGGTTGCGGTGAGAATTAAATAAACTAATCCACGTAAAGTGCTTAAGTAATAACACGTAGTAGGTGAAAGTGAGCAGAGAACACACCTATACTTGCTATTTTGCGTAACTGTTTTCCAGTCACGCCTTTGTGTACCCTGACTCAGATACGGGTTTGCAATGATGAAGATGATGATGTTGATAGTGATGGTGGTGATTGTGATGGTGGTGACAGTGATGATGGTGGTTGTGATGGTGGTGATTATGAGGGTGGTGATGGTGATGATTACTATTATGGTGGTGACAACAACTCCTCCCCAGGAAGTGCAACAGAGAGAGTGTGATGGGATAGGTGGGGTCGCTAGTACTCACCTTCGATCTGGTCAGCAGTGAAGTCTATCTGTGGAGAGAAACACAGAGGAATGAGGGCTGGGACTGCTAAGGCCTTCCAAAGGAAGCAGAAGCGGCTTCCGCAGCAATCGGGTCACCTCCAGCAGACTCTGATGAGGACGGAAGGAGACTACGGGCTGAGAGTCAAGCACCGACCGGCCTCCTGACGACTGGGCCGCAATTGACAGGCTGTCAAATAATGCAGCCTCCAGAGCTCTCTCAGCACCACTTGTTAAGTGATGGCTCCAAATGAGAGGGAAAGAGAAACACTCTGAATAACTCTAGAACCCACACTGACTCCCTATTATAATTCCTTTGGGTCGAATGTAAATTCCATCCCAGCGGCTGTAAACAGCCTTCGCATCCACCCCTTCAGTCTCTCCCCTTTCTACTTGATGCTGGCTTTCAACCCACCTCCTTCAACAGAGCCTTCCCTCACCCCTTCCATCCCAGCCTCTCCTTCGGCACACATCCCTCTCAGGCGGGCCCTGGATGCTTCCTAACTGTTTTCCTGTCATGCCTTTATGTGTACTGTGATTCCTTGAAGCCAGGGTCCCGGCAGCGCAGGGGATTTGCCAGAAAATGTCTGGCATAGAGTAGGCACTCAAAATATATTTGTTGAGAGGAGTAAATTTTGGGTTTTCCCCCCTAAATTCAAATCTGAGTACAGAAGAAGAAGGTGGAAGGCTCTGAAGATGAATGACAATGAACAAGCATTAGTCATTATTTTAACTTAGGATCTTGCATGTTACTTCATGGTCCTTATCTACCACCACCACCCCCTCAAATCCCCTCTCCGCTGGTGGTGGTAACTAATCCTGGAGCATCTTCTCTGTGTGCCACCATTCCCAGTCCTGATTCTGCTGCTCTGTGCCCATCCAAGTCTGACCTTGTTAATGAGGACCACTGGAGGTGGCTGGAACGAGCTAGGAGAGCAGAAGAGGGGTTACACCGTGTTGGGAAGAGAGCTAGCTGTACCCAGGAATGGGTCAGAAAGTTAAAGAAACCCCCTAAATGGGGTAAAGGATGCTTTGAAGGAACCCTCTGGGGAACGGTGCAGTTTGCCTTACTTTGCGATGATTTAAGCCCCAGGATTAAACATGTAAGAGAAATTAGTATAACGACATAACATCTGAATATATGGTGATAACCATACACATTGGGCTTAAGTTTACTTTTGCTTTATTTTTATTTATTTATTTTTTTGCGGTACGCGGGCCTCTCACTGTTGTGGCCTCTCCCGTTGCGGAGCACAGGCTCCGGACGCGCAGGCTCAGCGGCCATGGCTCACGCGCCCAGCCGCTCCGCGGCATGTGGGATCCTCCCGGACCGGGACACGAACCCGTGTCCCCTGCATCGGCAGGTGGACTCCCAACCACTGCACCACCAGGGAAGCCACTTTTGCTCTATTTTTGAGCAAAGAATCTTCTAAGCAAAGGAACTGGGTAAAGTATAATAATAGTGAAAATAGTCTTCATGAAAAATACCTAATTTTTTTTTCTGCTTTAAAGCAATTTCAACAACCCCCAGAACTGGAAAATCCAGACATGGAAAAGAGAATTGCAACCAGATGTGAGCAACTGGGGAAGGTGGGTGGACGGAGGGAAGTGATAGGCCAAAGAGAAGGAACTCGGATGATAGCACTAGGCAGCTCTTGTCCAGTCTAGGCTGTCCCACGGGAACAGTGCGTTATCAGAACAAATCAGAAATCCAGGTTTCCTGAAGGGGGAGATTGTCAGCTTTTCTTGCTAGGCTTTGTCCAGAGAGGGAGCGATGTATGACCTAGAAAACCTTCAGGTACTTTCAAGGTCTTACCCTGTGCCTCAGTTTCCCCAGAGTGTCCCATCTCTTGGCCAAGCCAGTTCTGCTTAAATTCCGCCCCTTGTAGGGACTACCATAGATCAACCCCAGGGTTCTGGGCACGGTGGCAGGGTCTCCCAGGGCTGTGGGTACTAGGAAGTATCCTGAGAGGGCCAGGGAGGGTCATCCAGTTAGAGCTCTGGGGGCTAGTTTCTCTTCCTCTTTGTCACAGAACCAGGTCCTGAGCTCTAATTTTGATCTGATTCCTCACCACCCCCAGCCCTGCCCTGAGGCTGATATACCCAAGAGCCCACCACTCCCAACCTGCTATTAATAGCCCTTCATACCAGTAGCCACTTGACCTCTTACATTCTGGTGCCAAAGCTTAAAACTGCTTCAGTCTCCAGAGGCCTCTGACCCCCTCCTTCATTGGCCCATCCCCTCCCCATGCCATTCCTTAAGCAGCTGGGCCAGATAGCTGAGAGGCCTAAAATGACTGAGTCAGCGGGCAGGGTCTACACCAGCTCCAAGGAGAGGAGCCTTTCAGGGTGAGGGGAGCGTGGTGGGGCAGAGAGGGAATAGGGCTGTGGCGGCAGAAGGAGCCTGGCCCAGCTCCTACACCAGGTTAGAGGGAGGGTCTCGGCCTGGGCTAGGCTAGGCCACTGCGTGCTCCAGATAGGAGCCCAGGCTAAGGGCACAGAAGGAGGGGTCCACCTGGGTGGGGAAGAGGAGAGAGAAGCAGGCTCTTCTCATCTTATCTAGGGCCTCCCTGCCCTCACCACCCACCCAGTGCAAGAGTCTTTGCATGTGAAGCCTTTCCCAGACCCCCGCAACCAGGGAGCAGTGCTCCCTCGCTCTTTCTATCACCTACTCCAAGTTACACTGGAAGTTATCATTCTGTGTCTGTTCTCCATAAGATATCACACAGTCTTTTTTACTTCACTATGGTGGTCCCCACAGTGCCTTAAAGAAAGTTTAGATGGTTGGTTGGTTGTACCGCCCTGCCATTCCCAACTTTGCTGGGCAAATTTGGGATGACAGAGCAGGGCTTCCTCAGACAGAGCAGAAACCTGTTCTTGAGGGGAAAAGCCTGCAATCTAAAATAGCCCTCACCAGCCCCAACACCTGCTCCATGCCCCATGGGACCCTGAGCGGGGGATGGACACTGCAGCCCTCACCCCGGTCCAGCCCCTGTGAAGTAGATCTCTGAGCTCCAGGGCAAAGAGCGTTCTGAATGTCATCCCCACCCCCATCCCAGTGGCTGAGGCTCACTTACCTTTACACTCTTGGGATCAAAGGCAGGTTCCTTGGGAGGCTCGGGAGGTGGGGCCGAGGCCGGGGCTGGGGCTGAGGCTGCCTTGGGCGCTTCCTTCTTAGGCTCAGGCTTCTTGGGAGGCATGTTGTCTCGTTGGGCTCTTCCACAGAGGTGGGACCTAGGAAGGAATCGAGAGATGCGGCACCCAGGGGCTGAGACGGGAGACTGGGCTGCCTCCTGCCCTTTTTATCCTGGGCAGGAGCCCCCACGGAGGGGCTGGGTGATCGCAAGAGCAACTGCTGCTGACTATAAAAGGAAGAAACACCAGCAGGGTACAGCTGACAACTGTGCATTGTCACCAGGTTTGGGGCTACCAGCCCCCTCCCCCTCCCCCTCCCCCCACACCTCACACTCCCCACGACCTCCACCTGTGGGTCAGGCTGACCCCTTCCTGCCAATCGGTGGACACCCAGAGGGGCCAGGGAAACAGACCCTCTCAAAAATGCCAGAGTCCAGCCAGAGAGATGAGCTGACTTGAGCAGTTGATAACCCTCACACAAAGCCCAGGGGAGGGCGAGGCTTTTTTTAGTCCCTCCTGAACAGAGGCAGCCCACTGCACATTCCTTTTAAGCCAAGATCCTTTAAGCTGAGAGCCACTCTGGGGCCTCAGCTCTGCCCTGAGGTTCAACTCTCTGGCCTGGCGCCCTGAAGCAACAGCTGGTCCGGCCAACTCCCACTGTCCCACACCCTCCCAATCTACCGGGTAAAACCCTGCATTTCCCAGAGCAGGCTCCCCGGGAACTCCACAGACCTCAAATCCCTGGGTCCACCCCACAACTTCAATCATCCATTCAACAAATATTGAGCACATAACTTGTGCCGTGGAGCCAGGGTGAGAAGCAGAGAGGTTGGCTGAAAGTCGATGAGACTGAAGGTAAGGAAACTTGGGTCTCGTTTTTATATACTGTACCTCTAACACATTCTGTGCCCCGTGTGTGTGTGTGTGTGTGTGTGTGTGTGTGTGTGTGTGTGCAGTACTTACTGTGTATCGGGCACTGGTAGCTGAGTGCTATTCATACAAAACCTCCTTAAATCTTCACTGCAGTCCTATAAGTAGATATTATTACTCCCATTTTATACATGAGGAGGCTGAGACTAAAACTGGCCAAGTAACAAGGCCACTCAGCTAATTAGCTATAAACTGGGATTAGAACCCAGGTATGTCTGATTCTAAAGTTTGTGCCTGAATCATTGATATTATAATCCTATGGGGGGACACACATATATATTTGTGGGTTCATCAGATAGGTCAGGATGAATACCACTAAAATGTTAACAGGAGACACCCCTAAGGACTCAAAGGGTAAGGACAGGAGGATGACAGCAATTTGCAGTTTTTACTTTTTTCACTTCCTGTATTAACGGAAGTCTTTACAACGAGCATGTACTGTTTTTATTTAAAAAAAAAAAAAGTTGAAAGTCAAAAAAAAATTGTTCAGAAAAACAACAAAAAGCTTATCCACTGCACAGACTTGCTTTGAACTGAATTGTATGGCTCTACATTTCAGAGGATGAAGAGAAATAAAGCTGAGAGAAGCAGAAAAGTCACTTTGCCTTTCTAGGCTCAGTTTCCTCTCCCATAAAGCAAGATTGCTAGGGACTTCCCTGGCCGTCCAGTGGTTAAGACTTCACCTTCCAATGCAGGGAGTGCAGGGTTCCATCCCTGGTGGGCGAACTAAGATCCCACATGCCTCGCAGCCAAAAAAAAACAAAACATAAAACAGAAGCAATATTGTAACAAAGTCAATAAAGACTTAAAAATATACATTAAAAACAAACAAAGAAAACAAGATTGCTAGACCACATAACGCCTGGTGCCCTGGAGCCCACATCTGCCCATTCTCTGGGTTCTCTAAGCACAGGCTCCAGGTCCCACGTCTTTCAGAGCCAAAAGGGCCCTTAGAGATCGTCTCATCCCGTCTGGTGTGACAGGTGAGGAATCTAAGGCCCAGGAGACTTCGGAGCTACGGCGAGACATTCAGTTCTTCACAGGCGGAGCTGCGCCAACTAAGCCCGGCTGCTCGTGTGCGGTGCTCCTACACCACCCTGCCGCTCCTGTACCCTGCACGTGCTCTCACCGCCGGTGAGCAGAGAAGCCTTCAAAGAAAACTGAGGCAGGAAAGGGGGGCAGGTCTTGCCCAAGGGGACCTTAGAGCAAGACCAGGAAGCAAACCCTAGGCCAGTCCCGGTCCTGGGCTGGTCCGGCAGCTCCTTCGCTCTTTTCCCCTCCCCCCTGCCCCTCTCCAGCCTTCTCTTCCCTCCGACTCCTCGTCCCCGCGCTCCCGCGTGCCTCTGCTTGCACCCTTCAGTATTCCCTGGCTGTTCTCTCCCTGACCACCTCCTTCCCCAAGGGGCTTGGGAGCTCAGTTTGTTGGTCATGAGGAAGGAGGAAAAGAGGAAGCCCCGCCTCTCCTCTTTCTCTACCCCCACCCTCATCCCCTTCCTGGTCTAGGTGCAGAGATACCCACACTGTAGAGAGCTGCAGGCCAGAAGCTGCAAGAGCCAGACACTACTAGTCCTGAACGTCAAGCCGCTTCCCCTCTCTGGGCCCCAGCTTCCTCATCTCTAAAGTGAGAGATAGTCAGGAGCTTTCAATGTGTTCGACAGACACTTAAGTCTTCCTTAGCTTGCTTCTGGCTGTCAGAGACACAGAGGGGCCAGGTCTTGGGGCTCTCCCATCCCCTGCCACTTCAAACAGCACCACTCCTAGGTGTTTTATATACTGGAGGTCCCATGGTCATTTCGTAGGAAATAGTTCCATGATTTAAAAGTTCAAAAACAACCAGTGAATGAGATGTTGAATAGAAAAACAAGGTATTCTAATCATTCTGTGAAGAAATATGATCCCCAAAAGCCAGGCAGTTGTAACTCTGTCTTTTCCTTTCTTTTCTTTTTCTTTCTTTCTTCTTTCTCCTCTTTTTTTTTTTTTTTTTTTTAATTCTAAAGCGAAACAAAATATCCAGACTGCTTGGGAGCAGAGCTCTGAGGTTAGAAAACTGGGAGCGCAGAATGGGGCTGGAGGATCTGAAAACGTGGAAAGAGTGTGGACTTTAGAGGCAGACAAGCATAGGTCTGAATCCTGGTTTTGCCATTTCTGAATCTTGGGCCCAGGACCCTCAGGACCTTTAACAGTACACATTTCCTTCTCAAGCTGTTGTGAGATTTGTATGAAGTACTGTTAGCTAGACACCACAGACCATCTCTGGCATATAGGAAACAATCATAGCTGTCAATTTCACTTTGTTTTCTGAGCCAGAGGAAGCTAGAGGTGTGCTCTGGTGTCTCAGGTTTCCTGGAAGGAACACCAGGAGAGGGGCCCACAGGAGGGAGGGACGAGGAAGGTGGCCGTGGCTAACTTGATTGTAAGGTGTGGGTTTAGGAAGGAGAAAGAGGTGGAAGGGAATGGGGGAGGGGAAGGGCAGCAGCTGGGTACCCACAGTGTGAAATATTTGTGGCTCAGAAAGCATGTAACTGGTCCCTGGGGCCTGGCAGCCTGCCTGTCAGCGACACTCAGAAGCGGAACCTGGCTGCCTGAAACCTCAGTGGGGGAGGAGATGCTCCTCAAATCAGTTTCTGATTCTCTTTAAGCAGCCCCAGCTAAAGAAGTAGCTGGTACTTCAGAAGCTACTAGAGGGGAGCTGTGGTTTCCCAGGAGCTGTGTCGAGAATCAAGATACCTGACACTAGCCTTGTTATACTACAACCCACGATGCCCACGGTTCATGAGACCCCCAAGAACTGGAGTCAGAGTTTTCACTTTCTTCTGGTCCTCATTCTGCTTCACGGCCACTGACTTTCACCTTGCAATTTCATCCACCTAGGGTACCCTTCACAGGAGCTAGGGCAGGGTTGACCAATCAGGGCAAAGGCAAGGAAGAGAGACAGAAGGAAGAGGCAGAAGTGTAAAGAGGCAAGCATAGTAGCAGGTACTGGTAGTCTAACTACTGCCTCTGGGGAGGCATCGAGTGGTCCCCAGCCAGAGCTGCTCCAGCCACTTGAATGCTGCCACTGGAAGAACCTCACACTCAGTAGATGGAAAACGCAGAACAGAATTTCACACCAATCAGCTTACACCACATGTCAAATCTGGACAAACGCACAGAAGAGAACTGACATCAGCCCTCCTTTGGGCTGGGCTTCCACACACTCACACATCCTCCTTCCTTCACCTCTAACCATGTAGGGCCTGTGTCCTGCCTGCCTGGGATCAAATGATGCTGACAGTGTGCCTGGCTGTTAATGCTTTCTTCTTGTCACCTCCCCCCGCCTCTTCCAGACAGTGTCTCATAAGCTAGACATCATGGGGCAAAGCCCTGGCCAACACTACATTTATATGTCTCTGTAGAGGACTCTGCCGCAAGGCAGAGGTTAAGAGGGCCCACTCAGGAGTTAAGAGTTCTGGGTTAGAGTCCTGATTGATTTGTCCGTTAGGCAAGCTAGTTAAACTTCTTTCTGTCTCAGTTTTCCCGTCTGTAAAATGGGGCTGCTAATATAACCTCACAGGGTGATTGTAAGGATTAAATGAGTTAATACAGATGCTACACTTAGAGTAGTGTCCAGCACAAAGCAAGTACTCAATCCTTAAGCTTGACTGAACCAGTGTGACTGCTGCTCCCTCTCCCAAGGGCAACTACGAAAGAATTATAAACAGAAAACACCAAGAAATGAAGAAAACTGTGAGATACCCCTTGGGTGAAGGGGGGCCCTGTTTTGAACTGGTGTGGTGTGTGGTAAAGGGGTGGCTTTGGTTTACGGCAGGAGGTGGCCAGGCATGGCTGTGTAATGATAAAAAAAGAAGAGGATCTCTGGGGTTCTCATCTGTCTTTTCCTCCACCAGTGTCTTAGAACAAAGAGTGATGTGCCTGCCATCACCTTCCTGACTCAAACTGCTGATCCAGGTGCTGGTAAGAGTAATCAGGGCACTGAAGACGCACTGTGCTTGTGAGGATCCAATAAAAAATAGGAGGGGAAACCGAACTTCGGACAGTTGTTTCCCCTCCTCGCCCCCTAAACCTCATAGCAGGAGAACTGCAATCTAAGAAGTACTTCCCCTAAGGTTGCTTCTCCCTTGGGAGGTGGGGACAAAAGGTGAAGCCTTGACATGAGGAGTTATTTAGTGAGGTTGGGTCTGACTGACTTGGGAGTTTTGGTGCTTGAGGTTCTCAGTCTTACGGCTCATTCACCCCTGACCCTCACCCCCTGAGCTAAATGGCACTGGTACACATTGTTGAACAGAGCAACCTATGTGTCCATGGGCCAAATAACAAGACAGGTGAAGAACACAGCTAATTCAGATGGATACAACCCACTTGATTACAGATTGTACCTTAAGTAGAAAGATGACAACAGATAGACCAAGATTTTAAAAGTAGCTTAATAAACATGCTTAAAGAAATGAACATATTACCAATACGACACCAGAACAAGAAAACATAAAGAAGAACCAAACAGAAACATCACATATAGAAAATTATAATAGTTGAAATTAAGAGGGACTTCCCTGGTGGCGCAGTGGTTAAGGGTCCGCCTGCCAAACATGGGTTCGATCCCTGGTCCGGGAAGATCCCACATGCCACGGAGCAACTAAGCCCGAGCGCCACAACTGCTGAGCCTGCACTCTGGAGCCCACGAGCCACAACTACTGAGCCCGTGTGCCACAACTACTGAAGCCCACGCACCTAGAGCCTGTGCTCCGCAGCAAGAGAAGCCACCCCAATGAGAAGCCTGCGCACTGCAACGAAGAGTAGCCCCCACTCGCCACAACTAGAGAAAGCCCGTGCACAGCAACGAAGACCCAACGCAGCCAAAAATAAATAAATAAATTTAAAAAGAAATAGTTGAAATAAGAAAAACAACTTTAGTAAAACAAGCAATATGTTAGGTATAAAAATAACTAAAATAGAGCACACAATAGATATGAAAAGTAGCAAACTGGACACAGCTGGGAAACATATTAGGGAATGACAAAAGAGAATGTCTCCAGGAAGGAAAAAAGAAAGGCAAAGAAATAGAAAAGCTGGGACTTCCCTGGTGGTCCAGTGGTAAAGAATTTTCTTTCCAATGCAGGGAACATGTGTTCGATCCCCGGTCGGGGAACTAAGATCCCACGTGCCACGTGGCAACTAAGCCCGTGTGCCACAACTACTGAGCTCGTGCTCCTCAACAAGAGAGCCCACGTGCTGCAAACTAAAGAGCCCATGCACTCTGGAGCCCTCACGCCACAACTAGAGAGAGAAAAAAACCCCACACGGCACAACTAGAGAGAAGCCCGCGCACCACAGTGAAAAGCCCGCACCACAACAAAAGATCCTGCACACCTCAACAAAGACCCCTCATGCTGCAGCTAAGACCTGATGCAACCAAAAAGTAATAATAATAAAGAAAAAATAGAAAAGCTGGGCTTCCCTGGTGGCATAGTGGTTGAGAGTCCACCTGCCGATGCAGGGGACGCGGGTTTGTGCCCCAGTCCGGGAAGATCCCACATGCCGCAGAGCGGCTGCGCCCGTGAGCCATGGCCGCTGAGCCTGCGCGTCCGGAGCCTGTGCTCCACAACAGGAGAGGCCACAACAGTGAGAGGCCCGCGTACCGCAAAAAAAAAAAAAAAAGAAAAGCTAAGAAATATGGGGGATAGAAGGAGTACTG